TAAAATAGTACTTACAGGAATGTGGCCAGTGCAGGACTATAAATAATTTGGGCCTCCATTTGATTCTGCAATGTAAAACATGTATACCTTAGCTTGTTGGTGATCTGTGATTTCATCAGAGAGCAAATGTAAGATATTTACAAGCATACCAGAACCTCAAGTGAGGTGTTGCCCAGACAGGACAACCAAATGCAAAATAATGTTCTTGGCTGTGAGGAAGAACAGATTCAGTGAGGAGACATATCTTCTATGACACTTGTGGGGATTCCCATTTTTCCTTTAAATTGCCAGAGATCAAATATAAACCTGGCAGCTATTCAGAAGCTGTAAGCAAGGCAAAGGCACAACTGGCAAGCAGTCAGAGATGCCAGGCAGGAAGATAGACATGCAATATTGGCCCTGGAATCTTAAAGATTTATATATTCTTCAGCATTGTCAGAAATAAAGAATAAGTTCACACCTTTCACACGTCAGAACCTCGAAGCGATGCCCTACTAGGACACATTGAAAATGGTGAAGGCAAAGGATAGATACAATGTTTAGTTTGACATTTGTTTTTTGTTTTTTTTTTAGGAAAATGCAAAGTGCTGGTTGGGATGGATACACAGATATAGATGATGTAAATGCATAAATATTATTTAAGGAAGGGAACTTGTTAAACATTCAGAAACAAAGCTAAGATTTACCACAGAGTCTATTTTCATGACTTCCTGGGGCTCCCAGTATAGCAGAAAAAGGAGGCATGATTTTCCATTTGGTTTGCTGTAATGTGATCATTTACTAATTTGCTAAGTGTGCACTGCTAAACCCCAACATCAGCTGTAATGACAAGGGCCTTAAGGCAGGTCCTGCACTCTTACCTAATATAATGTTGAGGCTCAGCACTGTAGAGGGGCTCTGAGTCTAAATCTAGTTTTAAGACCTTATTATTAAAGTTTATATTATGCTTACACACTGCCTATTCCTAAATAAATTCCTATTTAATCAAATTTCCACCAACTAATTGACACAGAGAAAACCTTGGGTCAGATTGTGTTGTGGCTCAGGAGTACTTCTCGGTCATGGGGCTGTAGGCAAAAATATAATTAAACTGCCACGCGTAGTCTGCTGTGTGCTCGGTGCTTGATGGGTACTTACATGACAGGGTACATGCACAATATGCAGCGAGTTGGAGGAAGTGGGGGTCAACAACTTTCAGATTGGATTCGTGAATAAGCAAGTGGAACAACTTTAGTTAGAATTAGGTTTTAGTCATGGATAAATACAGAAGTTGATTAAATTAAAACTCCATTTACAGTAGAAAACTCTGCAATGCATCAGGAATGTGTGTTACTTCAATAATAAGTATTATTCTGTTTCTCTGTGGTCCTGTCTCATAATCCATTTGATAGTGTGGAATTATATTTATCATAGTTTTTGTACACAGGGAACATTTATAGATCTTTGAATTACAAACAAAATGAAAAATACCCTTAAAATAACCTTATTGGAACCATTTTACAGGCTATGATATATTATATACACTTTATTATATCAGATGCTAGAGCCAAAATAGTTTTCTGTATGTTTGTCTTTACCTTTACATCACCAAGTTGTCTCCACGGTTATCATTTATATGAGTATGTGTGAATAAGAACTCCAAACAATAAAATGTCCTAGTTTACCTCTCTAGATAAAACTGCTTCTCTCTGTTTAATTTATGATTTATTCCTTTTAGTTTTATTCTAACCCCTGTATCCTGTTTCAGCAAGATGCTTATAAAAAGCCTTTTATTTTTGGCTTTTATAGATTTCTTTAATAACTGCTTATATCATAAAAGGTTGAGCAGACACAACCAATTTTTCAATTTCAACTTACTTTTTTGATATGACATGTAAATGTATCTGTGTTGCCAAAGCACATAAATGAAAGTGGTAGATAAAGAAAGCTTTTAATGGTTTACTACTTTTGGAAAAACATTTGAAGTTAATGTATCAGTGTTTTGGAGGCAGTGAATACAGACGAGTTCCAAACTTTTTGTATTCATTATTTTATGTAATGACTCCTTTGAATCTGCACCTAAGTTTCCAAACTAATTGGTTATTCACATGGTAATGTATGTGGAAGTGTGGAACAATAAACTAAGCCAATATTGACACATGGCCATTATTCAATTAAGAGCTTTATCAGATCATACTGTGCAGCTAACTACATTATTCCCAGTCATTTTGTCTTAACAAATTCTCATCCTAACTCGTGATATTTATGCTATTTTTTTGTATTTGTATATATTATACTCTGCCTCAGTACAGATGTTTCAGGTCAATCCTCCTCACTGCCACTGGTTAATCCTCTGTGCTCTCCAACACAGCCAGAGTTTAGGCAACACTTACAACCAGCAGTATTTCTCGTCATAACACAAGGCCGTCCATTCACTTATTTAATTTGCTGAAGGCATATCGCCTTTACCGTGGTTCTGTGTAGTTGGGCCTTACTGTGGAACTTGCTAATGGTACAAGAGGCTTTTATTCCATAACTGGCTGCACTTGGGGACAAATGTTGCTGCAGGCTCTTTAATTTGTTTGAGTGAAATTAGTATACAATAAATTTCATAAACCCTCGAGGGTCCTCATTCAATCAGTGTTTCCTTATGTTTTTAAAGTGGAAGAATTATGTGAGGAAAACAGTCAAAAACATACAAAAAAAAAACTAGGGCAAACTTGATTTATATAAAAACAGCCTGTGCATAGACACCAAATATTTGACTCTTGACTCAGAAAATGTTCAGTTATCTCGTTTGTTGCTAAAATATGTTTATCTGCATAATATGAAAAGACTTCCAGCTCTGTGAATAGGCAGCCACTAGAACACACTAATATGTCACGTTATATGTTAGTGTTTTTGAATTTGGATACTTGTCTTTTAATCGCTGTTTTTCTGTAGCATCACTTTTCATGAATATGCAAATAGAGAAGTGATTGGGTATTTTTTATCATTGCGTTTGTTTCAGCCGGAATTTGCAGGAGTGGATGAGTAAACGAGGGAATGAAAATGATAGATTATTTGAGCTGAAACCTACAAGCAGTTACTTTATTCTCTAATATTTAAGTCTTAAACATTTCACACAACAGAGTGGGACAGGAAAAACATTTCTTTTCATATGCAATGTCTTTTAAAGGGCTGTAGTCCTGAGAAGCTGGAGCCCATGAAGACTAGTTACTATTCTGAGTCTGGTAACAAGTTGGTGTCCTATTTAAACAAAGTACTGGGAAACAGAGATTCATCATCATCAGTCATAAAGTGACTCATATTGTCTCATCATTTTATAATTTAAGGACACAAGCGTAGCTTTCTAATTTCAAAAATACCAACATATTCATGAAACAGTATTAAAAACATGACATTAGCGCCAATCCAAGGTATCAAGAGTGGATCTGCTTCTTCCACCAACACATTTCACACCAGGCTGATGCATAATTGTCCTTCTGTTTGGCCAGAGTGCGGATACCAGCTAATTGAGACATTAATGAGATGGAAGCCAAGACGGTGTCCAAAATCTAGGCTTGCTTGTTAATGTGTGTGCCTTCTGTGTCTCATTCACACTACAAGGCAGAGAGGCTTCCCAGTTATCTGAGTGTGTTTATGTTTGGCACAGGGTGGGGTGCAGGGACACAGCCATCATCCCCACCTACTGTGTCCGTTTACTGCTCTATTTAATATGTGTCCAGAAAACAACAAAGAAAAAATACTTTAATACATTTTGGCTATGCATTAGACCGTGCAAGGTCCTGAAGCTCAACTCAGAAAGTGTCATTTGAGCTTTACATTTAAATAAATGCATTCAGATGAGGCAGAATTTAAGGGTTACAACACATGGAAATCTAAGAAAATAAATTCTCTCTGTCCCTCTCATATTTAAATTCCCTCTAATAATAATTACTGAATAAACATTTGCATAATATACTTTTATTTTTGTGTGTGGGGGTGTATGTAGATATGAAATGCATGTAGATATGTGTGAATGTGTATGTTAGAGCGGTGGTGACAGAATGACAGGGGAAGGTCTACACTGTGTACTAAACTGTCTGCATTGTCTTGTGATGTTTTGGAATTTAATAAAGTTGGAGGGAATGAATGACAACAGTTTTGTCAGTTTTGTAATATACAGTGTTTTTTTTTTTTTTCCTTTTTCATAGATCAGGTTTTTTGGATAGATGTTGCATTGCTACAATGCACCAGTTATTTATAATGATTTTTGTCATGGCGTTTATAGTTGTCAGTATGAAATGACACATGGGCAGAAATGTACTGGTTTCATCTGAATGAGCCAGAGGTTGGAATGGAAAGGAACTTATTAGTTGAGTTGTATTTGCATTGTACTGACTTATTGTGAAGCTGTTAATTAGTCACAAAAGTGCTCAGAACTCATGCTGGACATCTTTGCAACCATGTATAAACTCTCCATGTATCTGCTCATGTGAAACAAAAAAGTTACTCTTTAAGATCATATAACACTGATCTGGTTGCCTTTTGACTTGGTGCTTCTACATTTCCCATGACCTTACAATATCTTCTAATCTCTAAAATGTGATATTGCTAATTTATCAGTTTGGTTGGAATATGTAAAACTTGCTTTCCTACTTACTTCCTCAGGAGCCATTGTTTCAGCAACATCAAATTATAACTCAGGTTTCTTTTGTTTTAATCCAATTTGTTTTTGCTATTAAGAGGCATCCATGAGGAGTTGTTTTCTTTTCATACATCACAGATTCATTTGCCTAAATGGGAGGTGCTGGAAAAATCCTCACATCCACTGAAACACCACATCCTCCCCATCTTGATTTGAGACCAAGAATAAAGAATAAATAAAGATGTTTATATTGAATAAATAGCTTAACTGTTCTTAAAATTTGGTTGAATGTTCTCCAAGTTGACATCAAGGGAGATTCAGATCTATTCACACCATGTTAACGGCTTCAATTGATGTATTCACCTCATCGCCTCTCTCTCTCTCCCTTCAGTGTGGACCTGGTGCATGCCCAGCTGCATGTTTGTGAGGGCCGTAGCCTGCCAGACCTGGGCCTCAAACAAGACAAGATCAGGGTGAATGGCTGTGCTATCCAGTGCAGAGTGACAACCGAAGACCCAGCCAGAGGCTTTCAGCCAGACACAGGCAGGATTGAGGTAGGCTCTATCTTAAAATCATAAACATTTTAAAGTAGTTTTCAAGTGATTTTTGATCAAAGGGGAGCAGAAAGACCACTCGTAGTAATCAAGCCTTGGTACCTTATACAGTTACTTTTTCATTTCCTTGTCCTGCCCAACATGTGGCCCATCCAATTTGGGTTTAAAAGTCATAGCTTTACATCCAACACAAAAAATATGAACTTGAATGTGCAGAGCTGAAGGCAAATGCACTAAAAAGCCAACTTCCAGTAACCCACACAACAACAACAACAACAACAACAACAAAAACAGCAAAACAGTAAAAACAGCAACCATCCAAATAAGGGGCATTTTTCCTAATTTCCCAGGTTTTTTCTAAATAACTGGCTGTACCATAGCTACTCTACAGATGTAGGCTATACGTATAAACCTGCTAATGAGCGCCTATTTTGGGCAGCATTCTCCACCCTTTCTGCTTCCCCTGCCTGTTACCATTTTCAAAATCCCCTTCACTACGGGAAAAAACTACCTCCAAGCAAGCAACCTACAAGCTGAAAATGACAAATTTTGATTGGGATTTGGATTGTGCAATCACACAGTCGACATACATCTCTGCTGTTTTTTGTGGCATTTTATTTGCAGGGAATCAGTCATTTTAATGACAGTACTCAACCCCCCCATGTGCAGAAGTTTCCCTCTGACACTATTTTGCAGGGGTACTGTTGCTGCATCCTGGGCTTAGCACAGCCTAAGATGATTGTGATTGGTTTAAAGAAATGCAAAGATGCCAGGGCATTTTTCCTCTTTAGCAGAATGATAATGAGTGCAGCCACACAATTCTCCAGTCCTGACACAGCGCTGTGGAGATAGGTTCGACTATGTGAAATTAGCAACAACTCTGACGTTGGGCATCATCCATGTTTTGTATCTTCTTAAACAACACATCATGTGGTTCCCAGTAAAAAGAACCACAGAAAACTGAATCAAACTCATTTTCTTTAGCTTTCTTTGATGGCACATTGAACACATTCATAGCAGATTCTTCTCCTACACTGACATACTGTCCATTTTCAACATTGAGTGGTAAAATGCCAGATCCCCGCTAGCACATTAAGCTCTTTGCTTCTAAGATGTTTTTATACAACATAATTGAAATGTATGCAGTTTCACTTTAGTTCATGTGTCATATAAAAAGCTTACAAAGCAACACGGCGTCACATCCAAATGTCAAATGTAGGGTACATTTGATATTTAGGTTTGTGAATGCACCATACCATTAGCTTTTGAGAGATCATGTTTTATATTATGATATGGCATTACCAAACATACATAAAGTGTTTATCCTCAGTGGCATCTATAGTACAAGCGCCTGTTTCATATTACAAGCAGTCCCATAATTCAGTGACGATAACAAGCTTTGCTTTTATGGAACTTTCTGCTAATGAGAGATAATAGAATGTCTTCATCCAAGTGTGTGTGCATACACTGTATGTGACACATGTGCACACAGTCACAGCTGCAGAGATCACCCAGCGCTTGAATGATAGTCTGTCGCACTGATTCATACAGTGGCTTCTATTGCTGCAATTTGCTGCAAAAACGTAGACTGCCATATGGGGTCTGTGAGTGGGATGACATGAATTCCCTCTGTGCATGTGTATTCCTGCATGACTGAATGAATGCATGTTCATCTTCATCTCTCTGTAAGAGGGGTATATATATAATCTATATATAGATATAGATTATATATATATCTATATAGTTATATAGATATATATAATGAGTTTAGTTTATAAATGCTTTCTGTGTGTGTCTTCAGCATTTTTTTGTAAATACTTGGTGTGGCTCTGAGTATTGACCGTATCCATGTGCCTTTTTTGAGTGGACCAGTGATTTTCCTTGACAGTGTTCACACATGAGAAGACACATAGGTCACTATAAGAGTACTTTATGTATCCAACCACAGGCATGTATCCTGTATATCTACACTAAATATATGCCATTGCTCTTCGTGTCTCTGCAAATCTCTCTCCAGCTGATGAGGTCTGATCCCTGGATGCTTTTCGCTGTCAGGTCCTTTTGCCCTTCACCCGATACTGTACACTCACCCACCCACCCCTCTACTCTATTTTCTCTCTCCCATGCTTTATTCTCTGCCTTTCTTTAATGTGTTTCTTTTTGCCCATTCTCTGTTAGCTTTTATGGCCTGTAACAGTGTCACAAAGCGCTTTACAAATAATTAAATTGGTAATGAAAGCCAGCTTGAATCAAAAAAACATTGCAGACCAGAATTAAAACAAGGTGTTTAAAAAGAATAAAACAGCTAGTTACCAGAATAAAAACAAATCACGCCATTTGTAAAAGATAATGTTAAGTGATAATGGTGATTTTGACCTCAGCTGAGCACAGTGCTTAAAGTGCCTTGGGGGCCCAATGACTATGGCTGGGTTATGTTTGGTTTGTAGCCTAGATTCTACTAAATGTGGGAGGAATCTGCTTGAGGGAATAAAATGGAATTAATGCCTTCAACAGTGCAGAAAAGCTAAAAAAACAAGTAATGTAGTGTGACATGCACAGTTTCCTTCAGTAAGGTGTCAGAAATCTACAGCTCAGCAGTGCACAGGAGTAGACAGGGGGGAAGCTGATCACTGTTATGATAATATTGTCTGCATGTCAAATTTTACTATAATTTTTGAAACTATAAATTCCTGGAGACTGTCTGGTTTTCTCCTTCCAGCTTTTCATGAATGCTGTGAATAAAATAGTGCCAATGCCGCCTGGTGGCTTAACAAAGTGATTTTTTGACTCGTTGAATGTGATTGAATTCGATTTGCACCAGTGGCTTTCCAATCAAACAAATCATCTGTCTCCTGGTTCTGAGTGAGCGGGAGAAATAAATTGTTGTGTTGTGCACACAGATTTATTTCAATTGAATTTGACTCTGTTAATTTATCTCCCAGGGGCAGTTGTTTTTAGTCTATTAACAGTTTGTGTAACTGAATAATCAGACCAAATATTTTTAACATAAACCTATCCATATCCATATGACCACATTCAGATGAAGCAGTTGAGCTGTATTCAGATCAGCAGCATACACGTCAGATTCACACCTGATTGGGCGATGCAGGCCAAAAAATATTAGCTATTTAAATAACATCCCCATTATGTGGTGTTCTCACTTTCAGTGTGCATTACTTCTCACTGTGAAAATCACGGCTTGTGCTGTACACTGCTTTTCTCAACAAATTGTCAGAGTAGCCATGGAATAGCTTGTGACCTTTCCACTTCAAGGGCTTTCTGCCTTGTGTACGCCCCATATTTTTCTCTTCAGATCTCTCCGCATCACTCTATTCTTCCCTCCCACTTTCCACTTGTCTCAAAATAATGCACATTTTTTCCACTTCATCTTCCTCATCCCTCCTCTCTCTTGTTTAAGCACTAAAGTCTGGTGCATCTGCCCATTTTCCCCTATTGCTCTTCCCGACCTCCCTCCTTTCCTTTGCCTTCCTGAACTATTTAGCCATGCATCTGAGCTATGAAACATGTTAACGCAGCAACAACCCCCCCCACCCCCCCCACCCCCCCCACCATCATCATGCAATATGAATGAACCAAACAAAATCAAGACAGAAAAGCATGGATGTAGGAATGCCATGTTTGAGGGACAGATGAATAAATTATTACGGAAGGGCTGCGACAAGGTCAGCCACAGTGAAAGGTGGAGGGTAGGAGAGTGAGAGAGTTGTCACGCTATGGACTTTTGGTAACTTGAATGCAACTTGGATTATTGGTTTCAACGAGTGGAGATACAGATTCCCCTGGACAGGATGCACAAATCTTAGAGAAGCAAATAGAGAGACTTTGAAGGATGCTGCAGTGGCATCAACCTTTGAACCGAAACTCATCCGTCACTTGCTCAGTGTGGTCAGTTCTGTGAAAGAACAGCTGTGTGTCAGCATAGAGGGCAGGAGTCATACACTGTATTGGAAAGGCTGGTTCATTCATACAGCACAAAAATCAGCTAACTGGTAAGTGATGCTGAAGTACTAGTGCTTTTCCAGCTTAGAAATCCTTGAAGAAATGAGGAAGACACCAGAACAGAAGGAGAGGTGACCAATGTTGGAATAGGCAAGGAAAAGAGATGAAATGGTATAGCTCAAGAAATCCAGACAGGGAGGAGAAATATTTTTTTTACTTTATGTGGAGACAGTAGACTGATGGGTGTCTGTGTGTGAAACAGAAGCAAAGATCTAACAGGTCAACTCGGTAATGGGTACACCTTTGTTTCAAGTCTCTTTGACTTCATTTTCTGTTAGGGGAGAAAGGAAAAATTAAACAGGCATATGAGAGCTATCCATCCTGTTCTCTTATCTCCTTTTAATGGAGCTTTCAGAGCAGGTGAAGGAAATAGGTGCAGAGAAGCAGAAAGCCACAGAAATACAAGAGAGCAACAGAAGCAAACAAGGTAGGATAGATTATTTGCACTGAAAGAAGTACAGCAATATTAAAAGCAACCATTACTCAGCTTTTATTCAAAGGTCTGACCCACAATTGCAGTGTTGCGCCCCCTGCTGTTGCCGTGTGTCTGCATTATGACTGTCTGGTACTGTTTATTGTAGTGCAGACAGTTTTCTGTTCTGTGAAAACTAAACACTTCAATCAGTTCACACAGAATACATGGTGTTAACCCGACATTAAGGTGGTGGAGCATCGATTTTTATCATCAGTTGATAAAACAGTCTCACCGCAAGGTTGTCTTCGTCCTGGAGTCCTTAAGTTACGATATTGAAAAGGAAATTGGTTTAGGAAAAAACAATATTTTTAGCTCCTGATGTCACAGAGCTGCAGTAGTGACCAAAACTCAGTCATTATCATCTAGACTGGATGATGGGCTGTAAAAAAATAAGGTTCGACACATAATCGCATTGTGTGAAACAGGCTGCAGCCACTGTGATACATTTAGAGTTGTAAAATCTTTCCTCATAGTTTTGTTGTTTGTAGTTCTGATGTAATGAACA